GTACGGATCACCAATACTGGTTTGACCAGGTGGTTGCCAGTTGCCAGTTGCGCCCGGACCCAAACTTTCCCCCTCCAGGTTAGAGGTTCCAACACAGTATAGACTATAGACTCAGAAATGTAAGTTATTTTAACGAGCGGCAAGCCAATTTCGGCAGGCCAACTTACGATCTTCCGTCGGTCTATAAATCAATTCCCGAATAGAACAAGGTAAAGGTTACCCGTGGAACAAAGGAAGCGGATTCTTTGTTAGCTTGATGTTCACACTGACCTCAATCCAGTTCTGACACCTCGCTAGATCTATTACACTGTTGGAGATTGGTGAAAGATTCCTAATGGTGATCAATTGACTGGTCTTAAAACAGATTTCACCTGTCAGTTTTTAGGATTTGGTAATGGTCCAGATGGATTATAAAGCAAGATTGCTAGAGACTAAGGTGATCACTCTGATAGTCTCACTAGATCAGGAAGACGCTGATCGATCGACGTAGACGCAATCAGAGAGCTCGGACCGTTATTTGGAGCGATCGACGCCCTGAGATTTGAATACCGATATGTTGAGGCTGTAATTAAGGCCTTTAAGGATGTTGCAATTAGTTGCAATCCTATTAAAAGAATTCATATGGAAAATAAGATAAATTTCCACATATATGGGATTTTCATGTTTTTCATTCTAATACATCTAAGTCATATACTTAAAAACAATTTAGGGTGTCAATATTTAGAGCCCTGTCAATAATTGTGGCTTTTATCTTATTTCTTATGGATTTTTTTGTTATAAGTACATAATAGCTAGTTGAATATTTAATTTAAAGCGTAAGAAATGATGGGCAATCATGAGATGCATAGTTATTGTCGCGAATCTCGAAGGTAAGTAGCTGACAGGAACTTGTTAGTCGTTACCACGAGGACATCTTTTTGCAGCTTATGTATATTCTGTATCCCTGTCCCAGTGTTGCTCTTGGTATTATATTGGTCTTGCTCTTACCTCTAACGGCAACAGCTACTGTTCATGCTTCTTAAAACAGCTCTTCTATTTCTGTTTGATGTTCTTGCAGTATCCTGATACCGATACTACCACTCTTCTAGTACCTCTGGTGCTTTAATAGTAAACCAGTCTTACGAGGTAACCCTCCATTTATGCGCCACATATATTTTGCACTATCCTCTCCAAAGAGTCAATTATTAAACCGACTTAATAAGATAAAAACTTTTAAATAGCTTAGTGCTTTTTTACACGCAAAAGTCCAATATTAATATTAAATTTAAATGTTCCATTTTCTTGGATTAATATATATTGGTCAATCAATAACTCATGTGTCAATAACTTATTTGTTATCTCAATCGAGATATTACTGTCAACGCAGAACTAGAAAGTTTCAATTTACTCGACGAATGTCGATTGATCTAGGTCACGAAATGGGTGTTACATCACTTGATAAAATTCTTTATAATTTAATTTATTTGAAGACAATTATTTAATTCTTTTTATTTTAAATAAATATTTATTAACGGTTAATGAAGATTATTAAATATAAACAACTTCTTCTATCAGTGCGTTATTTACTCTAACAGGTTATGGGCCCACAAATTTTTCTATCTTTTATAATTTTATTGTATCTTTAAGGAGATCCAAGTACCCTCCTAGTGTAAAGAATGTCTAAAAAAAATAATCGAAATACTTTTGATGTCTTAAAATTAATTTTTAAAAATTAATAACATTTTTGAGAGAAAAATAAATATTAAAATTTTTTAAACTATTTTTTAACATATTAATAATTTTTTTAAAAATACAGTAATAACATTTAATAGACAGGAAGCTGATATACGCGTCGATCTAGTACCATAACTCTAAACACCAATTCTTAGAATATCTTATTGAAATATTCCTTATTGCGACGTTATTAACCATCATAATCTTTTTACAGTAAATTCCAATGTAACGTTAAATAAGATTAAATATTATATTTTTAACGAAAGTAAGTGTCGTTAATATAATTACATCTATTATATTCGATCTATAAAACGGAACAATTGATAATTGAGCCATTGATTCGAACGAAATTTCCATGATTCGGTCCTTCTGCCCACGAGTAAATCTTGTGTCATCAATATCCGGGCGATGTGAAAGTTTGGCATGTTCCTCAAAACACCGCCCACATTTTTCTTTACCCAGACAATAACCACGGCGTTAGTTTGTTAAACTTTCTTGTAACCACACCGAGACGTAGGAGTCGACAACATAATTAATAGACTGATTAGCCGTCGATTTATCAATTTGTGAATAATCAGTCACTCCTTTCGACAGCAAATCCCTAATTCTGAGAAATTCCAAATCTGCTCACTCTTTTTTTTGTTATCAAGAAAGAACAACAATAATCTTAGCATAGCAGAGGTTGTGGTGTGGTTACCCACGTCACGGTCCAGCAGGCCGATCAACCGGGCGTGCGGCCAGACTCGGCTACTGGTCTACGCCCACGCAGGCAGAAACTACTCGCATACTCGAGATCCTCATCATCATTATCATTACTAATATCGTCCAAATCAGTTCGTCAATTCAGGTGATATTTCGGAGTTCACTTTAAACGTCCATAACTTCTAAAATATCAAAGATATGAACTTGGAACAAATTTTATCGGAAAGATTAGATCTCAAGCTTGAAATTTGCTTTTGTGATGATTGACTTCCGACCAATAGTTTCTGAGATCCATAACTTTGAAAATCAGTCGCAAATACTTAATATTTGCTTCTGACCCATATTTTGATTTCAAACCTTCATAATTTCTAAAATATCAATGATATGCCCTTGGAACAAGATTTATTAAAAAGGTTAGATCTCAAGCTTGAAATTAGCTTATGTGATGATTGACTTTCGACCAATAATTTTCAAGATATCGAGTTCCAAAAGTTAAAAACCTTGAAGCCTAACAAAAATGAATTTCTCAAACGGAATCTAGCGAAGAAGGCTTTAGGGTAAACGTGACCCGTGAATTTGTTAAACAAACGGGAAGTTGTTGAGTTTATCTCTATATCCATACATCCATAAAAACTAAAATAAAAATGAAAAGAGTAAGTTACGTAGTTGTTTAATAAGACAACAAAACACTGCCGTTGTGTTTGCTGTTCACCAGTATGTGAGCTGTGTTTATGCATATTTCGCTAAGAATCCGGTCCTGCTGTTCTCTGTCCGTTATTCCGCCATCAACTGGGATCCAAGTCGTGTTACTGCGCTCAGCATACTTATTTGTTTATTTATATTTATTGTCGTAAATTCCCAAAAATATAGAAGCTGAATAAATTGAATTTTTTGAAGCTTAATCACAATCTCCGGGAAGTCGTTAATTTCCTGTTCTCCAGGATCCTTTTTGTCGAGACTGATTAATTATTAATTATTAAATTTATTATCTTATATCCTGTGATATTTAATAGCGATCCAGGAAGTTGAACTGGATAAAACGAGTTGAATAGTGGATGTTGGATGCATCCATTTGCGGGAAATGATAGCTCAGGATTATCAAGGCGTGGTCTATCAATCACGATCAAACGTGTGACCATTGATTTTCTTTTTATTCGGTTCTATAACCTCTCGATTAAGTTTTTCTCATTATTTATATCTTGTTGCTTTATTTCATATGCGATATCCAAGAAACTGTTAGACGAAAGTCAATCATCACACAAGCAAATTTCAAGCTTAAGATCTAATATATCCCATAAATTTTGTTCCAAGGTCATATTATTGATATTTTACAAGATATAAAGGTTTGGAATCACAATTTGGATCATTATAAAAAATCAATTATATATCCGAAAGCTAGTTAGAGTAAATGAAATAAGCTAAGGCGTGATCGGTAATAGTAAGTATAAGTAATAGTAGGTCATGATCGTTTAATTAAAGCGTATCGATGTAATTCTCACGGTCTGAAGAGATAAAAGATGTCTCTGAGTGTTTTTCATCTAAATAAAGGCCCGTTATAGCCGCTCTAGCTGTATGTCAAACAAATGGACAGAAAAAATAAAAGGCTGGCATAAAAGATGCGTTCCACCTAGTTAGCAATCGCTGATGCAAATCAACCAGGTGACCTTTCTCTTGCTATTGAACTTACTCCCGCGGCACCCGACCACTCCGTACGCCTCTAGTATCACCAGAAGGAGAAAGAGAGAAGGAATAAGACAATGAAATATACGATTTAGATCGCGGAGTCCTCGGGTCAGTCGGAACGAATGCGTGACATGATAAAATCAACTGATGAGAATTTGTGGTTATAGGAGGCAGATAACTTAGGATACCATCTCAGGCTATCGGCTGCTCTAACTACTTTGGATTATGTAATTAATTGTTTTTATAAAGAGTTAAGAGCTGCTATTCACTCGATTTATCCAAATACTCCCACGGTCGTATGTAAGGATTTTGATTGACTTTAAATGTTCATAACTTTTGTGATATTAGAGGTATGGAGTTTAATTGAAATTTATTAGAAAGGTTGGATCTTAAGCTTCAAATTCGCTTGTGTATTCATTTAATTTCTTTTGAGATCCATAACTTTGAAAACCAATCGCAAATATTCGATTTCTAAATATAAACTTCATATATTTTATATATTTATTTATATATATATATATATATATATATATATATATATATATAAAAAATGATGTTGGTACTCAAATGAAAGCTCTTAATAATTGTAACATCAGGATGAGCTTATACCTTTAAAATCATCAATATTTAAGAAAGTACATTGCAATTTACCAAAATACATTATTCAATAAACCAAAATATTTAATTGATTGACGCCACCTTATGTCGAAATAAAAAACTATTTATATTGGCAAGAAATTAATCTTTGAAAACAAAACCACCAATATCAATAACCAGATCTTTAACCTCTCGTAAAGACACATCTTACATACCCATAAGCCTCACCCCCCAATTACCAACTCGGCAAACCTTGAAATTGATAGCTATCCCCCAGAGTAATAACTAAAGAAACAACTTACGAGTTAGAGGTAGAGCGTGCCAACGCGTCGTGGCGCCACAACAGTAACAGCAAGTCTCGCCCCGCACTTAGCCGCAGGTATAGAGGGCTGAACTGGCGGCGGAGTCTCAGGTCTGGCGACGGTGCTGCCCCTAAGTTCCCATACAAGGTTCGTCAGCGACCGGGGCCGACTCAGGCGCCGCGACCTGAAACATCATAATCAATATCTCTAATCTAGACTCCCGATACCACTTCAATCATCAAATTACTCACCTTTTCTCAGGCAGCTTCGCACCGGCTCCAGAGTCCCCGGAAGTTCTTCCGCCAGAGTGGCTGGAGTCTAAAGTTCCATCAAGCTCCATCGCCTGCTGCAGATTGGTCAAGCTCTTGTACCTGATATTAAAAAGCGGCGAGCCACCTTTGAACCCCGGGGGTGTTTCTTTAAGCGGACTTGCGCTTTTTTGCCTCATGAGCGCGCGTCCTCGCTGAGTTCCGCCATTTTTGACGTACAACTTCGCCAGAGGGGGTTTTTCCAACTTGGGCAGTGGCTGACGCTGCCCCACCACTTGACTGGGCGTGTCCTTGCCCTTGCGCGTGCGCTTTTCCGCCTGGATCTTCTTGGTGGGGATAGTTTCAATTGGAGGGGGTTCAGGCCGTTCGTCTAGGACCACGGGAGAGAGTGGGGGGCTCGCTGACAATTCCTTCCCCGGAGTTTCGTACGGCGACCTCACGCTCTTGGGCAGCGGCGCGAATCCTCTTACATAATCATAAATCTGGTCTATCTCGTCATAATCCTCAGTGTAGACTCTATTTTCGTCCCTATAACTGCTACCCGGGCCGAGGTTGAGGTTCAGGCTCAGGTTCAGATTGCCATTTTGATGATAGTGAAGGTGTCTGTGGTTATTTGCACTATCAGAACTAACAGACCGCCTTAAAAAGGCAGCTGCGCTCCTGGTCTGTCTGGTCTGCTTGTTTTCGGTCAGCCGTGCGTCTAAGACGCAAGCGCGATCCGCCACATCGGCTACTAAGCGTCCAGAACGGTCCACTAGCCGCGCAAATTCAGCCATAGACCTTAAGGCTTCTTCATTTCGGGCTTTAACTAACTTTAGAGGAGCCGCAAGGGGAAGAGACACTGCGGCGCCTTCCCTTTGAAGGGGCAGGGCGAATATATGCTCCTCCTCAAAGGTCGAAAGTAGGCGGAGCTCCGGGAGGAACTGCGACGCAGACTTAAGGCCCCGCGGCGGCTGGCCGTAGACCAATCTCACTGTCAAGGGCAGCCGCTTGCTCAACAAAGCTCGGGCCGTATGGACTCCGCTGATGTTGTCTTCACGAGCCAAGGCGCTGAAGCGGCCCCGCTGGTCCATGCTTAGCAAAAGGCTGTCGCCGTGGCTGTCCAAGCACCGCAAAAACCGCCCACGACCCGGAAGATTTATTTCTCCGGCCGTAAGGATTGTCTCACCGGCTAGAAGACTTCGGGTGCCTTCGGGAACTACGTTGGAGGCCTCGTCTAGCTTACAGACGATCGCCCTTAAAGTTTCGCGGACCAGAGCCCCCTCTTCGGGACAGCGTCGCGCCAATTCGGCGACTGACTCTATTCCGCGTACGGCTCGGCCTTCTTCGCTTAGGATCTCGAAGTAGCCGTGGTAGGAATCGGGGATGGCTAGACGGGGCCCTACGCCTACTACCCTACGGCCTTCTTTGATTTTAACTGCCTGGGCGACGATTTTTCGCCTACGGCCGGCTGATACTAGCAGGGCTGTACTTTGGAGACTTGGGGCTGGTAAGGTAGGGACTCCCAAACCGGCATACTGGCCCTTTGTTATCTTTATTACCGCGGGGAGGCGGTGCTTGCTGACAAACTCACGAAGATAGGTCGCCTCTTCGGCCCAACGCGCCGCGGCGACCACTATTTGTCCATCTGTGGCGGCCATACCCCAGCTCGGCTCAAATGGAGGTTTTAGAAGGGGATTCAGGGCTCCTGTCTCTTGTGAAGCGTCCTCGAGGCCCCATCTGCAAAATAAATAAGGTATTAGAGATAAAGTTAGGTATTCGTGAAAATGTCTACTTTAATGTACATTCATTAGTTTTAACCAAAAAAATTTATTTAATAAAAAAAATCGTAAAAAACAAAAGTCGTTTTCAAAAAATTGCATATTTTTGTAGAAATGATGACTTTAAATTTTCAACAGTGATTTTTTTAGGGTTCAATCAGATCAATGATCTATATGTAATTTTTCCATCTATAAAATGGCAGGACAATAGTGGGGGGACAATAATGGAGTTTACATTAAAGCCGCAATATTTTTCTTACGTTGGGATTAAATTAACGGGCACGTCAGTAGCTTACGAGGTTACCGAGGTTATGAGTAGAATAATGTATGAAAAAGTATGTCAAATAGCTTCCTAGAGGCGCGTCTGTCACGATTGAAAGGTCATTGGTCACTGGGATTACAAACTAGTGGACTGCTATCAGCATTTGTCTTCAGGGGCATCGGGGGTAATTACCGGTAACTGCTATTTATCATAATAAGAGCGCTATTAATCTTGAGAAAATAAAACAACGATAATATTATAAATATAAATAAAAATAACGATTACTATCCAACCAGTTTAGAGTTAATTTCACTAATTTACGGAATATACCTGCGTGTTTTAGACACCGAGACAAAATTCACCTAGGGCAATTAAATCCACAGGGCCTGAGGCTGATAAAAATGGAAACCGGTCCCAAAGTGGTACCAAATAACCTCTCAGGCAAGTGTCCATCCGATCAACTCGGTTTACATTTTAAATCCTGGCCTTGAGCTATCCACGGAAAATCCACAACCGGGGAAACGTACTATTAGATCAATTACGTCTCTTCAAGACACAACGATAAATGATGTTTAGTTATGCTAATTAGTCGCTAAGTACCCTCCCCGACATGCCGATCGAAGGTTTTTTTTTTTTTTTTTTTTTTTTTTTTTGTGTCGGGTAGGAAATTTACCGAGGTTTGTGAGTCTGAAAAAAAAATTGCGAATTTTATTCTTGGAAATTTTCAACAGTGATTGATAACTTTATTCAGAGATAACTTTCAGCGATTGTCAAATTTGATCAATTGGATCGATGATCTATATGTAATTTTTTCCGCTTTATCACATGGCAGGGTCAAAAATTGCCGATTCTAGTCGGAAGTTGCCGATCGGCGAACCGATCGTCGAAATAATCAACTTGAGATTGCGCTTTTTGTTTCAATCGATTCCTCGGTAAATTTACGATCGAACTACGTCTCGAAAAGTTGAGATCGGTTAAGATATCTGTGTTTATATTCAATAAATTAAAAGTATCAATAGGAAAAAATAGTATCGAGGATCTGAAAGCATCAATGTCGTTTAAAAATCTGTATCGTTATTTCTTATACAATTGTCGTGACTAAGCGCAATAATATGAAAAAAAAAATAAAAGAATTGAGTAATAAAAGCATTCTCGGAGTAAATTTTCAAGAGTAATCGCGTGTTCCCAGATCGGACGAGGTCACACATATCCGCGGGCAAAAAGGGGCACCATATACGTTTGTTGTATTAAATGCTAATTTATTGAGACGTTAAAGATTTAACAATCGTTATCAAGTACATTACGATTGTCTGAGTGAAAGTTATTGGCATTATTTACAAAGGATAAATTATTATACAATTTCTTATTGTCACTGTTATTGCCTAATCATTGTTTTATTGTATAGGTTATATGTATACCGTGTCAGTGTGTAGGTAGCGATGATGATAATATCGTAATATTAATATTATGCCGATTCGCGATCGAATAAAACGATTGTCGCTTTTTCTTTATGTATAATATCACAGTTGTAAATTATTTATTATTTTTTAATAAATAATTAATATCTGGATTTATTAATTTAATTTCCCTCGTTTGCGATTGTCCGAGGGAGATGGTCAGCTTCCAGCGACGTACCGAGGATAAAGTATCCTCTTGTTGAACATAACACAACCAACCAGTCTGACTCTGAATTGAGTGAGTGACGCTTGAAGGGACGAACACAAATTAATATTAAATTGAATTATAATGACAGTGTTTGCCAAAGGGCTCCTCCTACTACACAGTACTAACAGATAACCTGTCATATTTTAACGTAATAAACATTCACTTCACACGTTTTATCATTCTAAGAAAAAATACTCTATAACTTATTACATAAATTTTTACGATCAATATCGTCTTTTTCATTAGATTTTTCGGTAAATTTTCGTTCAGTAACTTTATTTTAAGATAACTTTCAGCGACCGGCAGATTTGATCAATTGGATCGATGATCTTTGTGTGATTTTTCCTGCTCTATCAGATGGTGTGGTAAAAAATTGTCGATTTTCACTGGAAGAGTTTTAAACAAGCGAAAAACACAAAGATCGGTAATGTCCAAGTGGAAAAAAATAGAATGATTTGTTTGAGGATGCCAAGCGTGGGAGACGGGCGTGAAGAGTTGCCTGGCATGCATATTCATTATATTTTCACACAGTAAGATCCTGGAGAGGCGAGAGTGGTGAGGGGGGTGTACTGGGTAAAAAGTAAAATAAATTAAAATGAAATGTAACTCATTCCGGTCTTAATTACTGCGGCTAAATGTCTAAGGAGTTGAAGACAGGAGAGTGGGACGGATGAAGTCAAAGAGAAGGTAAACGAATGGGAATGGAGAATGACCGCGGGTTCTTCGCTGAGGATGTTACTCTGGAGTACCCACTGTATGTAAGTACGTCTTTGGTCTTTGGTAGTTATTTCCGTGTTTAAATCGTAGCAAGAGCCCCGGCCTTTCCAATCATCCGGGGACGCCTCTACTCACAGAGACTCGAGATGACTTATCGATTGGTAGAAATCCTCGAAAGTTTCCCAGCCTACCAGTAGGTTTGATACAACCACAGGATAAATTAAAGTAGCTGAAACGTGATCTAGTAGTCGTGTATCCCATTAAATAAATACGTAGTCATTAAAATATATAAATTTGTTTTGTTTTAGTTTCGTTGATAACTTATCGATTATGTTTTTCAGTTCCGTTGAAAAAGTAAAAAGTAAAATTTTTAGTGATAGATCAGTGAATGATTTTTAGTTATAGATTCGTTATAGAATTTTGCAAAAATTAATGAATGTACATTAAAGTAGACATTTCAACGAATAAAATGATCTATAATAATAGTATTTTTGATCATAGGAACCTCAAAACAATCACTGTTGAAAATTTAATATAATCATTTTTAGAGAAATCGCAAAAAATAGGCTTTTTTATATAGGTGCTTCCGACTCAACTTTTAAACTGCTTTATCGATCGATTGCCAAATTTAACCTGCTTTTACCCTCAAAAAACAACGTTGATTCCCGTATGGCCCATCAAAATCGGTTAATTATTTCCGAAGATACAGAAGGTTAAAAATCTGGAAAATAGCGTTAAAACACTATTTTCCAGAATTTTGCAGAATTTTTGAACAATCTGTTGAACGAATCTCACGGGTGGCATATTCCAATGGACATCCCGCTGAGTTTAATTAATAAACCTGCCCAGAGTTATATTGCATCAATATATAGAAGCATTAGCAATATCTCGTCTAATAATAATTAAAGAAGTATATAATATTTTCACGAAGTTGGGAGTTTACGACTCTGTTAGAGCATATATTGACTTTTCTTCTTATCTGGCCTCCCCCATTCGCATATAAAATTAAAATAAAACTAAATCCAATAAAATATTGATAAAACCAATCAAATGATCGGAGTAGTAGATTAAAATCCAATCTTATATTACGAATTATATATTATACATTATATATTCTACTACTTTATTATCTTCCATCAACTTTCACTGGTTATTTATTGTACTCCTTTTAAAAACAAATAACTTTTATTTTGAATAATTAAAAAACAATTATCACTCGCGATTTTTTGTATGATTTACAGAAAAAAAAAAAAGAAATCAAGAAAAAAAAATGTTGATAACTTTGTTAGATTGTTCGCGGTAAATAAAAAAGGTAAAACACCGATCATCGATTTATTTTTATCGATCTGGTTGGAAGACCACAAAGGTTTCAGCTGTTACCGTTCAGCTTATTACGAGACGTGTAGTATAGTGTTCGAAAGCGAAAATTATTTCATTTTATTTTTTATATCCTTCACGCCGGTACTACTAACACTGTAACACCAAGAACTGAAGAACTCCACTCTTTAACACCTCAATTATCCTTATTATTTAGCTTATTCCAGCGTTACATACTAATTTTCTTGTTATTAACCAGCCTGTTGAATTTATTAACCGTTCTGATGCGCTTTTGCTTTAAATTCCGTCCTCGATTTCAAATATTCGAAGATCCTTGGCAGAAAATTAACTTTGTTTTGAGATAACTTTCAGCAATCGTCAAATTTGATCAATTGGATCAATTATCTGTATGTAATTTTTCCCGCTCTATCAAATGGCGGGGTCAAAAATTGCCGATTTCCACCGGAAGATGCCGATCGGCGAACCGATCTTCGAAATAATGAATTTACGATTGCGTTTTTTGCTTAAATCGATTCCTCGGTAAATTTCCAATCCAACTGAGCTCTAAAATTTTTCTTGAATTTTTGTGATGTATAAAATAGTTAATTCTTAGTAACAACCGGTTTCCAGGCATATAATATATAATAACTATAACTAAAACTAATAATATATGATAGCTTCCGGTTAATGCTTCCTAGTATTTAAATAAAAAAGTTCCCGAGCGAATGAGGAGTTTAAGGTGAAGGTTGACCGGTGGTTTGTTCAGACAGTGACCCGCGACCTTTGACTCAGACTTGCGGATTTTGTGTTCCGGCGAAAACGAGGAGATAAAATAATAAAATAAATAAGAAGGTGTAGGTATGCATGGAAAAGAAGATCGCCAGGAGGTCGTGCTCGGTTATAGGCATCACGAGGTGAAGAAGGATAAGGCAGAAGGATTGTGGGAGTTGGTAGGGGGATCAAGTGAAGGTGGAGGTTCGAGTTGAGCCGACTGCCC